ATCATCATCATCATCATCATCATCGTTATTATTAATTTACATATTTATTCATTTCTCTATTTGTAAGTTCATTTATCCATTCATTCATCTATGAATCATACTTTATTCATTTATTCATCAATTAATTATTTAATTAACTAAGTAATTACTTTTTATAATTAATTAAATTATCTTTTGGGGAATCGTTGTTATCAACATCTTCTTTAGCACCTCAACTTTCAACTTTCAGATTAAGCAGTCAGTTTTCATGTAAAACAATCAATCAGGTAGTTTTTGTAAGGTCAGTCTAATTATACTAATCTAGAATTAGCAGATTAGAGAACACGTTGAAATGTATATATATATTTTTTAGCTGAGAATCCAAAATTCCTTTACAACACGATCACTCTACGTACCCGTTGCCTGTGAGAATTGGCGTTCTCAAACTTCCGTCGATAGTTTCAAACGCGAAAGTCTCGTAAAACCCAATTACTGTCACCACCACTTTCATTTGATGTTTGGGTTTTTTGGGTGGTTTTTTTTTTTTGGGGGGGGGGGGGAGAGGGGGTTGTTTGTTGTTGGTTGTTTGTTTTTTTTTTGGGGGGGGTGGTGTTTTTGTTTTTTGCTATTGTTTTTGTTTATGTTTTTGTTTGGTTCTTTTTCGTTTTCATTTTTTTTTGCCTTCGTTTCGTTTTTCTTTTTTGTTCTTATTTTGTTTTGGTCTCTGTTTGCATTTTTGTTTTAGTTTTTGCTTTTGTTATGTTTTTGTCTTTGTTTGTTGTTGTTGTTTTTTGTTCTTGATTTGTTTTTATTGTGTTTTTTTAAATTTTGGTTTCAATCATCAATGTTTAATTTGTGTTTTTGTGTGTTTATGTTTGTGTTTCGGGATGGAGGGGGATAAAAAGGGGTGGAGGAATGTGTGTGTGCGTGCGTTAGTGCGAGTGTGTGTGTGTGTGTGTGTGTGTGTGTGTGTGTGTGTGTGTGTGTGTGTGTGTGTGTGTATCTGTGTGTGCGTTTTTGTGAGTGTGTGTGTGTGTGTGT